TTTCTTGGTACACTTGATATGCCAGCAACAAGTGCTGAAACTGATGCACCTATTGATATAAAAAAAGATCGTCCAAAAGATTATCATCCAATAACAACAACAGTACAACGTCAACGTGGAAATTATTTAAGTCGAATTGGTTTAAAAGGTTTTCGGTATAATGTTCAACAATGTCGAAATGAACGACAACATCAACAACCAAAACTTGAAAGAGCTATAATTGATGAACTCATTGAATTAGATGACTTAGAAACACCAACATTAATATCTGATAGTAATCAAAATCATGAAACAAATCGAATAGCACCAATATGATTAAAACGATAATGAATACAAACTGTTTTTTTGATATTTGTTTTGCAATTAGATCATTATATATTAATGTGTCAAAAAAAAATCATTGAAGACAGAATGTTTATTTATCCAACTAGTCTTGTTTGTGATAATATGATTACTCTATGCAGAATTACATTTCTATATGAATATAGTGAAGTTTTAAATTCAGCGATTGAATAGAGATGTTTATTATGCATTTTAATAAAATGATTATATTCTTTCATATCTATTGAAAAAAAAATGACTTTAAAACTCATTAATCGAATCACTTCTGTTATATTGAATCTTCATTTTTGTCTGATTAAGTGGTCAGCAAAATAGATGAAAGGATGTGGATTCGAATCTGTTTTCACTTCATTCACAACCTTATGATTATCGTGTTCAGTCTCAGTTTTATAAATAATGTTTTTTCCATTGTCTCTATGATATAGCAGATAAATACTTGCTCAACATTAAGACCCACGATTAGAGATATGCAACAGCAATTTTAATCTCGGTCGTCGGGGCCGAAACTACGGAAATGAGAAGTTGCTGACACCGGAACCGGAACTAAAGATTATAGTTAATTATTCTATCGTTTTAAGCGAATTTTCTTATAAATCAGAACATAATTCAAGAGAAATGATAACTCAAAAACTTGCTAGTCGTCAACTAAATCAACAGAATTAATGTTAACTGTTTGAAACGAAAAATGTCGAATGTGCAAAATATAAAACAATTTGAATAATTGATAGATACGCAATTTATTAATCATAAATTTGTTAAAGAATGATAAAAATTTACTAATTAAGAGTGTACATATACGACATCGATTATAATACGATGTTTTACCGCTTTAGCTCGAAAGAAAATTGACATAAGAAAAGTGAAAATAAATATGATCATAAGAAAAAAAAAATTAGGATTGATTTGAGAATCATTTTTCAGCTTTCATATCCTTTGCCACAAGTAATGATAACCTTTAAAGATATTCCTTCAAGTCAATTTCTGCATTTGAAATCTTGATAAGGATGTAGCTGATCTGATGATTTACATCCAGATCCACACCCTTACTCTATATATACACAGAAGGTTGAATAGAGAAGGACGAAAAATAGAACAGAAAAAGATGCAAAAGAATAACTCATCAGTTAACAACACTCATTTGGGCGATTCCGATAGAAGAAAATGACTTTCAGCAGTAATTTAGTATTAATGATTGTTTTACGAACTTTCAAGATTTTTGACAATCGATATTTTGCCCTTCGGTCTTATTCCTTTCTAGCAATTAACATTCCCCAATCAGAACACGACTATTGAAGAAATCTTTTTGGACGTGATACGAATAAATTTTGGAATAGTTTTCTCTAGACCGGAACAAAAAAAAAACTTGATACCACAATCTCTATCTACAACGCTTGGCTTTATTGCATCTGCAATCAACTGTTCTTCCATTTTCTGTATAATTCGCATAATGTTTTGACTATTCATTTCCAATTGATGTTTCTGCTCCATCAACATTATCAAATGTAGCCTCGTTATACCTAATATTTCGATTTCCTTTTTTTTCTGACAAGGCCTTTCGTTTTTATTGATTTCATCATCTCTTCATCTGATACATCACTTTCATATTGAGCAACTTGTACCACGTCGATCTTTTGGACTCGTGAACTCTAAGATGAAGTCAGAGGAAAACATAATAACAAAGAAAAAAAACTGAATCATGCTATAACGCATTTCAATTTCTATATCTATCCTTTGATTTAGTTAACTGTTAATAAATTTTATTTACTAATCTTTTAATTTATTAACAAATCTGATTCATCACTCACTAACCATTTAAGTAATTTACTGATTTTATAATTATTTAACATACTGAACAAATATTGTGTCTATCCATATTTTCTTTTATTTCTATGCAAAAACAAAAAATAAAATCAATTCTTAAAATTATTCTCAAACAAATCTATTACTTTGAAAATATATGAGCAAAGCTCATACTTCAAAATATTTCATCATAAACTCTTAGATAAGTTTAAAATTGACAATAACATCATAATATTAATATTTACTTTTTTAACATTTGATTATTCAATATTTGAAAAATAACAACAAATTATTATTGCTTGATTTCATCGTTCAATCAAGTTTATCCGTTATAAGTATTCAAATAATGTAAACTTATCAACAACTATCTATTGTCAATAGATATAAACATAGAATGACCGTGATGAAATATCTTCATCAAGAATTATTTCCATACATAAATTATTGAAAATGGTTTCAATATCATTTTTATCTATTCAATTAACTTTTTCAATTGACGATATTAAATATATGATATATATACATATATGTATATATATCGTCCCAAGGTATAAATTTAACAAAATGAATACATCATGAATGATATATTCACTCAGTAAATCGATTTGACTTCTAAAGCGTACAATACATGCAAAATCTTCATCAAACTTGTCACATACAATCATGCTGATTTTCTTTTTAACTGTATAATCGCGTGTACAACACATATAGACATGCCGATAGACCTACCAACAAAAAAAAGAGACATGAAACATTTGTGTGTATGTGTGTGTGTGTGTGTGATATCTTTCTAGTGATGGTGTGATAAATGATCTCATTCTCTTCTCTATTTAACTTGATAACATCTGTTAAAGTTTCTTCTTTTTATTTTTTGAACAAGATCCGCCTTCATTCTAATGAGAGTCCATCCATCGTACAAATGTCAAAATGACAAACAGAAAAAATAAAAAAAAAAAAGAAAGAAAATGATATATTTACTTTTTAATTGTGAAGTGTTCAAGATTGAATAACGTGCAATAATTCACTTTTCAATTGAGTGTGAAAGAATAAAAACAAAACAAAAAAAGGTTTCTCTTCCAAATGATTCATCCAAGTGACAGCCGACCTATATACTTCAATTGAGAAGTTAAACAATCACAAATGCGGATAGATGAAAAGAACACATCATGCACGATTTCTCAGGTGTGTAATCCTCGTTATCATTGATGATGATAATGATGATACGCACGTTTCTTTTTTTTTGTCTATGAACGGGAACGAAATAATAATTGATTTTGAACGCCACATAAGAAGAAAAAAAAAGATATGCATCATCACCACACGCGCCCTTTTTTTTTCGCAGTATACATTCGATTATCAATTATCATCATTGTATGCAGCAAGCCAGTTAAAGTCATGCTTTGATCTTTACTAGCAGCATTTCATTATTATTTTTAGTATACAATATCGAAAACTCACTAGGGGGTATACATATATGTATATAGACAATGTCTTCTAAATGAACAGTTTTATTATTTTTCTCTTACATACATCGATTTTGTCTATTGTATAGTTGCGTGAAATGAGTTTTTGATTGTGCAATGAACAATAACGAAATGAGAGACGCCTATTTTTTCTTTTTTTTTTTTTTTGTACAAAATTAGTCTCGTCGTTAAGTATACATTGTCTCAAGGATTGTGTCAATCATTTTTATTTTTTTTCAAACATCAACCTAAATATATACATGTAAAAAAAATAATAATAAAATATTCTAAACGGGTGAGTAAGAATTTCAAATGAACCAAAACTCATTTACATGAGAACGTATGTGTGATCAACATAGTTTCCTTTTTTTTGTGCGTTGAACACTAGTCTCATGATGATATTCTGTATGTGTATTGATGGAAATTGATATATATACGTTTGTCAACATTTATTCATTCAGAGTCGATAGATGTATAGACACATATGCAAGGTTGGATTAAAAAAGCTCACTGCTGTGATTGAGAGTAATACGAAGCATATTCAAAGTAGATTCGTTCGTTTGTCCCGGTCACCGACGAATTACTCAAGTGTCTGTATACATAGCAATGGTATTAGTGCAGGTAAATTGAACCACAAGCGCGTCGATTGATCGCATCCGTCTTAGCCTTTCTATCTCATCTTGTATATCGTATATGCAAATTCATTTTTTTTTCTTTTCTTTTTGGATCTTTATCATACGCATAAGTTGACACGTAGTATTTTTTTTTTTCGATCTATCAGATAAGTATCGATTGATAACTATTGTTGATTTAATAGTAAAAAGAAAATATAGTTAGACAAATGAGAGTAGAGGGTCAATATCTATTCACTAATTGTTATTCTTCACATATATATATATGTATATATATATTTAGTAGTTTCAATTCGTGATCTCATTAGATAAAGAGATTGTATCAGTTGTTTGTAAAAACAAAAAACAAGAAAAATTTTTTTTTCTCGATTTCTATCCTTCATATAAATATATACATATATAAAAACCAGATGGACATCACACACGCGTTTGTTCATTGAGAGTGATAAACAAGAATAAATGTTATGCGAAAGGAAGACAAACGGTTGGATAACTTGATTACCTTCAGAGAATATTCAGTTGAATGACGCAATTTCAACAAGAAATACGCTTGTCTCAATCGACTTGTAATTGATTTGGCACGCTGCTCTTTGGCGGCTTGCTGTCAAACACAGCGATATAGTACTGATGACATCTACATTAACTTTATATCCTAGAAGTTACTATATATACACCATACCGAGCATATGTGTACGTATGTTTCAATGATCAACCATTTATAGATTATTATAGACAACCAGAAACTAAATTCTATATCATAGATATGATTCTCAATAGAAGAGAAGTATGCTTATCTGATAAACGTCTATTTGTTTGTTTATTTGCACATTGTTTTAGCAAATAACGAATAATTGTGACGGTAAGCCGCTTTTTCTTTTATTTTTTGTATTTTTTATTCTATTTATCCATCCAACTTACTTCACACTATATTTAAAAAGATAGTCGTTAGGTCGTGACCCTATATCCATTTCTCTGAAGTAAAAAAAAAAAAAAAAAAAAAAGAAGAGCATTATACATAGTCTTTACCACACCCACAGGATAATGATGACAGTAATATCACAATAATGATTATTATTGCCGGCAGTAGACAAGAGAAAAATGGGAGATAGGTAAAGTATTATAATGATAGGAGGAGTTATATATATATACGTATAGTATTATATAGCTAATGGAATGTTTTTAACTACATCAAGACAAGAGATGTTCACTGTCCAGTTATTAGACCAGGCATATGTATTTTTTATTCTTAAAACTACTTTACTTCATATATATATATATAATTATTTAATAGAAGAAGTTAATTCATTGACGAGATATTTTCTATGAAAAACTCTCATTCTCTCTTAACATCACAGGTGTGATCGTGTATGTGTCAACTTTAAAATGAACGGTTGAGATTGATCTAATTGTCCATAGTGACGACAGTAGTAGAAGGAAAAAAATTCTCCATCTTGAACTTGTATAACATAGATTTTGTCATAAAGACATCCTACTGTGTCAAGATAATTATTTTCTTCTGTCTTTTTCAATTCAATAAGTTGGCTATGAGTGTTGGAATAAAGAAGGTAATTTATCACCTTTTTCCTTCTTTTAGTTCTCTCTCTCTTTCTGTCTCTCTTCTGTCGACCATTGGGCGTTAATAAGACGAAAAAAAAAAACTGAGAGAGAGAAAGAGAAAACGAGAGAAATATTCTTCCTCTTCCTTTCCATTCATTCACACAACATTACTTTTTTTTTTCCTTTTTTTAGATGATCATGTTTCTAATAATATATATCTTTCTTCTTGTTGGATTCAGTGAATCTCGTGAACTTGAAATAATTATTAATGAAGAAACTCCAATAGGTACAAATATATTTGATTTAAATAGTTTATCGTCATCATCATCATCATCATCATCATCATTAATAACTTATCAATTATTAGAAAGTTCATCATTATTATTTTTTAATTCAACAACAAATATAATATCAATATCAAAACGTATTGATCGTGATATATTATGTCCAAATGATGATCTATGTTCAACATGTTATTTAATAATGAAATTTTATGATATGTTTTATTATGATATATTATTATTAAAATTTAAAATAAATGATATTAATGATAATCAACCAATATTTAGTTCAAATACATATTCAATATCATTAACAGAAAATAATATGCCTGGTATTAAAATACGTTTATCAAAAGCTGATGATATTGATTGTTTAATAAATAGTATACAATATTATGAATTAACATATATTTATAATAATCATATAATAATATCAAAAATAAATTTATTTCAACAAATAAATCAAACAATAAATTTTAATCAACCATTTTATTTATATTATGATATAATTAATTTTGATTTATATCTTATTATTAATATTACACTTGATCGTGAATTACAACATGAATATATATTTACATTAACAGTTAATGATTATAAATATACAACATCAACAAAATTAACATTAAATGTTCTTGATGTTAATGATCATAATCCAAAATTTTCACAAACAATTTATACAGTTAATATATCACATATAACACCAATAGGTACAATATTAATAAAATTAACTGCATATGATGAAGATTTAGATGATAATGCACGTATTTATTATTCATTATTAAGTATTGATGGTAATAAAATTGAATTAAATGAAAAAAATGATTTATTTCAATTAAATTCATATACAGGTGAATTAAGTTTAATATCAAAATTAAATCATCTTGATTCAAAAAATATATTTAAATTAATTATTGGTGCATCTGATGGTACACATAATGCTATACCAGCATTAACAACTGTTTATATAAATATATTAAATGATATATATAATGATAATAAATCATTAATACAAATAACATTTGGTTCAAATCTTGTATCAAAAAATTTTACAGAAGTATATATATCAGAAAATTTACCTAATGCAACATTTATTGCATATATTAAATCTGATGAAAATTTAAAAATTGAATATGATGAAGGTTTTTTTATACAAAAATTAACTGATAATAGTTTTACATTATTAACAGATCGTATATATGATCGTGAATTACGTTCATCATATAATATTATTTTACGTAATAAATATATTCAACGTAGTTTTAAAATAATTGTTACTGATATAAATGATTGTAAACCAATATGGAATATATCACCATTAAATATTGATATTGATTCTTATGATAATTATTTAAATGAACCAATTTTAATAATATTAAATGCAAGTGATTATGATGAAAATTCTAAAATTGGTTATCGTAAAAAAAGTTCATCATGGCCACAATGGATATTATTAATATCAAATGAATTAATTATTAATTGTACATTACAATTAAATGATACAAATAATGATTGTTGGTTTTATTTAACAAATGGTGAAATATGGCTTGATATTGAAGCATATGATATTGATAATGAAAATTTTTCATCTATTATTAATATACGTCTTTATAGAAGTTCAATATTAAGTAATAATTTAATATCAAAACAAATAAAACAATTTGATATTTTACAATTATTAAAACATGAAAATATAATTATAATCATAGCTATTTTAATGGGTTTATTATTTGTTATTGCAACAATACTTATTTGTATGTATTGTCGACGAGAATTAAATAAAAAACCATCATCTTTAATAACAAATATAACAGATGATAACAGTACAAAACAAAAAATTATTCAAACATCATCATCAGAACAGACATCATCAGCTGGATCACTTTATGGTTCAGAAAAATCTGAAAATATTACAGTTGAAACATCTGTATGTGTAATTTTTTATTTTAAAAGATAAAGATGATTGTCGTTTTTTTTTTTTGTTTGTTTAGGATATGTTTCTTTTTTCTCCAAAACGTACAGCATTAATACCATATTCATCAGATAATTTAACAAATAAATTATTTCATTCAATACAAACAGATCTTTCATTATTAACAGAAACCAATCAACAAATAATATCAACGAGAGGAACTTATGTTTAACAAAAAAAAAAAACCAAATGGATTGAGATTTTTTTTCCTTTCTTTTCTTTTCTTTTTAAATTTATGTTGTATGATCTGTAGAATTGATTTATAATTATATATAAATATTTATTAAAAAAACAAAATAACTAAAAAAAGAATTACGTCAAAAGCATCCTGTTCGATATTTAATATGTTCTATTATTTACTCATTTCAAATTTCATTCTTCTTTTTCTTTTTTTTTAGTTGATGAAATTTGAGAATTAAGAAATAAGACTGTCTGATCATGTCTCAAATTGACGGATGAGCATAGAACGACAGACGTTGTCAGAAAGACATCAATTTCGCTCTATCGATTATCTTGACATAGTCTAGCTAACAATAATATATACATATGGAAAGAAAAAGGAAAGTGTTATTGCGTAAATAATGTGTATTTTCTTCTCTTCTTTCAGACACATCGATTAGTTAAGATAAATGTATATACATAGTCTCTAATCATAAATAGATATAGCAGATCTATTCTTTGTTTTTTCATTCAATCGGATCAATTGACTAAATGTTAGCTATGTTCGATGATTTATGAGAAATCTTTTTTTTTTTTATGATAAATCTCATGTGCTCAAACTATTCATTTTCCACATCATTAAACGTCTTGTCATGGTTCAATGAAAGGCAAGGAAGAATGAAAGAACATAGTAGATATTTCTTTTTTTTTTCTTTATTCTTCTTGCTTGTGTTCATGTCATGAGAAGATATGCCTCATGCTGTCTTCCATTGTATAGTTTGGAAGTCTTCTTGATACACGTTTTTTCTTTCTTCTTAGCAAGAAATTGGCACGTACCATTATCTCATCAGACTCACTATTCATACATTCACTTGTTTCGATTAGATTCATTCTTTCATGCTTAATCTACTTCCTTCTATAGACATCAAGTATAAAGATGATCTTATTTACATCTGCTTGTACGTTTCTTTTTTTTTATTTTTTATTATTTTGAGAAACCACCAACTGAGTACGTACGAATTGATCTGATTAAATGTAGATACTAACAGCTGCACAATCAAATATTGAGAGGCGCCTTGTTAGTAATATACAATTTGATTATGTCTGACTGATTTCCGCATAGCATATACTTTAGGGAAGAAGAGACCATAGAAAAGTTTTTACTTTAGTGTTTGATGTGATAAGTAATTAGATAGGAAACAAGGGAAAAAAATGTTCTTCTTATATGCTCCCACTTGATCGACTCATTGCTTGTCGTCTACACGAGTGTATTGTATAGTTCGAGGGCAACAAACGTCGTCATGAGACTTGATCATTACGGAAAGTGTGAGCGAGATTAAGTTGTCGTCATTCGAACTCTGATGATGATGGCCTACGGCCTAGTTAAGCTTAACCGCATCTATAATCATCTTCTTTACTCTTTCACTTTCAAGCCGACCACAACACGATATGCCCGTTGGCTGATCATACCAAATATAGTCTACGAAAAAAAAAAAAATCTAACCGACGAATAAATAAGAAAAGAAGGAATTAGTTATAATTAGCAAAAATGAGAAAAGATGATGGAAAAGGTCGTACATATTATCTATTGTTTACTTGACCCATTGTCGACTGGACGCGCATCTGTTCTAAACTTAGAATAGCAGCATTGAAGGTCATTCTATACACACACGTATATATATATATATGTAATAATAATCTTGTTTCCATTCCATTGAACATGTTAATACATACTTAAAATTATTTCAACAAATTATAACAAGAAAAAAAAGAAACGAAAAATGAGAATGTGGTCCGTATATATTATTTTTCTTCTCAAGTGTTCACCTGTATTTTTCTCCTTTCTTCGTTGGTGGTATGCATAAAAGCCAATACAATTATTATTTCCGTTTAAAGCTTTTAAATATAAAAAAAAACTAAGTGCTTTTGTATACATTCATTCTTTATCTATCTGTCAAAAAAGATGAGATTTTGGAGAATTGACGAACATATTATGATGACTATGACAAGAGCTAATGAATTATAGTCTTGTCATTTTACAAAGCAATCAATATGACAGTTGGTAAACATGTTAGTGTCTCTCTTGTAATCATACGACGAACAAATATTGCTCATCATATTCAAATGCGGAGATAAGTTCAAAGTATTGATTATGTAACTAAATATATATGTAAAAGAATTGTATTACTCGAAAAAAAAAAAAAAAAAGAAAAACAATTCTCTCATCATCGATATCCGTAACAAAAAATAAAAAATAAATCTAGCGATAATCAATTTGAATAGTCAACAATATATGATGTGTGATTAGAAAGATGACTACTACTTTATTATAATCCATCTTCATAGATGACGACATAAAGACAACAAAATGAAAGTTTTTGTCAAATAGATTTAAGAACACTTCAATCAAAAATAAAAAAGAATAGTTCATTTGATGTACAAATATGATTATTGTTTAGCAGCATGCTGTGTTTCGAATAATAATGAATGTTTTTTTCTTTTTTTCTTGTATATCAAATTAAATATGATTTAAAGCTGTTTGCTACTTATCAAAAAAAAAGTTCATGTATTTTTGTATTGATAGATTCCGACAATCGTTGAACCATATCTTGATTTCGCACAGACAAAAAAAAAGAAGATGTTGATCTAATTAACAACTAGCAGAAACTAATTATCTATTCAAGATTTGTCTCATTTATTTGACTTGTCAAGTATATTCAAAATAAAAAGAGAAAACAAGAGAAAAGATCAAAAAAAAAAAATTAATTAGAAAAATTATTCAATGAAATAAAATATTTAATCATTAGGTGCTCATCATAATTTATCTAAACAAACAAAAAGAAAATGACATAAGGTCAATTGTTTTATTGAACAAACATGTGTCAATCGTATGGAATAATTATGATAAACAATTCACTGACGATGACAGAATATGAATAGGATATTGACAGCATGTCATGCGAAAAGATTCTTTCATCTATATAGACAAATTATTCTATTACCTATTAGATTGTATCATCGAATAAGTATTTTCTTTTATTATTATTATATTAATTATTCATTGATAGTTGTGAATTATCTAAGAAAAAAAAATTTTTTTTTTTGAGAAACAAATCATTTCAACAATGTCTAGACTGTACAGTAGTTATTGATGCATAAAAGATTTACATAGAAGAAGTTAAGAAACAGTCTGATGAATTTCTTCTGACTTCTCTAATATATTGACATTAGTCTTCACAATGATGCTCAAAAGAATGCAAATAAATGTGAGAGATTTAAAAACACTGGAATTCGATTTTTTTATCGAAAAATGCTTCATGAACATAACGAATGAGATCAATCACTACTATTTTTAATTTTCATCTATTCAATCATGTTGTATATTATTTGTATTTGAATAAAGTACACGATCAAATCATTAGATTTCGTTTCCAAAGTGAATCGAAATAATTCATGTTTTAAAAAAGATTCTTTCTAATTTAAATAGATATTCTTATGCAATATATATGAAGTTCGAATCAGAGATGGCAGAGTTTAGTTGATACAATTTAGATCACTATGTTGCTATGTAAAGCAAGACAAAATGAATGCAAAAAGATATCTCAAGTAACAATGATAATATACATATATGCATATTTTTTTTTGTCCTTCTTCATCTAAGAAAAACAGAATATTAATAAACTAATTATATTCTTTAAAGCGAAAAGAATTTACGTAATATTCATTTGAATCAAAGTTAATACAATATGAATAGTTCTTTAATAACATGAGTAAAGTAAAAATCAATAATAAATGAAAAAAACATATGGATATTTATATATAGTGTTTGTCAAAATTATCTAATTAGTAGATTATTTTATTTGGTTTTGTGTACATATCAAAAACTAGAATGCTCCAATTCTCATCAAATTACAGTCTATTGTCTCTAGCATACTAGAACAAAATATCAGATCAATCCATTAATCTGTTGAGTTTCTTTTTGACGATACAATCGCAACATGCCATTTTTCATCCTTCCAAAATTATCCAACCACTTATTTCTGAAAACTGTTGCGCGCCTGTTCTAAATTGACATTTTGTTTGTAATACATGATTCAATAGAACAACTTGTGCACTACGTAAGAAGTACTACTTATCATAGCTTTCCTTTGAGTATGAGTTATAGAAAAAAACTTTTTTTTCATGTAATGTTTTACCAATTATATTAATTCATATGTCATAAAGAAGAGCACTACAAATTGCATTCGATATTCAATTTGAATAGAAATTTCATACTGGAAAATGGTGTTGGTCATCTTCTGTATATATACTACTCACAAATATACCTTCTTATACTGTCTCATTTGCATATCCAAGAAGGTATATCTGCGAGTGATGTATATACAAGAGACGACTACACAATGTTTCAGTATGAAATACGTATTCAAATTTAATATCGAATGCAATTTGTAATGATCTTCTCAATGACATATGAAACAATAAAATTGGTTAAATATCGCATGAAAAAAAGTAGTTTTTTTGTCGTCGTTTTAGTGAAAATTTCCGATATGGGTCAAAATGATGTTGTTTTTTTTAACTCATACTCAAAGAAAAGCTACGATAAAAGTACCTCTTACGTAGAGCACAATTTGTTCTATTGAATCATGTATTATAAAGAAGGTTTCAATTTACAACGAGCACGGAATAATTTGCAAAAATAAATAGTTGTATAACTTTGAAAGAATGAAAAATGGCTTGCTGTGATTGTATTGTCAATAAAAACTAAGCAGTTCGATGGATTGACTTGAAATTTTTTTTCTTGTATACTAGTGACTATGTTTTGTAATTTGATGAAAATCACAATATTCTAGCTTATCTAGTTTTTGAGATATATACAAAAAGAAAAGAAAATTCTCTATTTGTTCGATAATTTTGACAGGTACTGTTTATATATATAATAATCTTTCTTCATGCCCTATAGTGGAAGATTTTAGGTATACTGTTATATCCAAGTAGATAAATGTTTTAGTGCGG